GTGGAGTAAAAAAAAAAACACAAGAAAGTTAAGTTGAAACACACGACACATTTTGCTGCCATGACTTGCCCATCTTTAGTAATGAATCTGAACTAAGCAAGCGAACAACAAATGATGCTGGTTAACCGAACTTTCACGGTCCCTCCAATCATGATTGACTGACAGACTCGAAAAGATTTACAAAACCGGTAACATTGTTGGTTACCACACAACAACAAACGAGAAATAAGATTTTCAAAAAAAAAAAAAAAAAAAAAAAAAACTCGTAAAGTTCGAGAGGTTTGAGAGTTATTCCTAAAAATTCCGCACGTACACAACGTAGTACATGTAATCTAAAGGGATTACAAAAACATGCTATCACAAAGAGTTGCTAAAATATAATACATACATAAAGCCGTACATAAACTATAATACTTGTCTGAGCAATGTGGAGCGCTTTTCAATTCTACGCTCTGCGGTGCTTTCAATCGGTTAAAAAAATTTCACAGCATTTTACTTTTTGTTATAAGAATTTACAACAACAAGTTGAAAAAGTATACAAATTAAAATTGATCGATGAATCGTTTTTGTTTTTCAAAAACACTAAGGTGGGTGATACGAAAAGTGCTCCGCATGCCAAAAAGGAAGCCAAACATATAAGCAAAGCTAATTTGAATTTCACTTAACTTAGTGGCTTGTTAATCCTAGTGAATTCCAACTCGAATCTCAATGCATGCGGCCTACAATAGAGTCGAATGGTTTTTGTAAAACATCTCACAACTAGCTTGATCTTAAGGGAGCACAAAAAGCATAAGCAAGCGTATGTAACTGTGAAGCACTCAATATTCGACGTAAGCCAAAATGTAGTTAAATACATTTTTGCAAGATGAAACCACAATGCAAAGTAAAAGTCTTAAAATTATAGTAAATTTGGTATTCACTAAAAGCAAACTTCACATGGTACTTGCAACAGTTGGAAGAGTTGAATTTAAAAGCCACCCACAAACAACTTCGTTGTAATTCAAAAGCCGTTGTAATGCACAGAGCCTAAAGCTAAGCGTTGCGTTCCTAAAGATTTCGATAAATATTCCATAGTCCCAGAGGTCTTGTTTAACAAAAACCACTTTTCCTAAACTTGAGAAGCTGACCACGTTTTATATTTTCTCAAATGGCTTTGTTATATTTCGAAATCTATAAAATATTTATCGTTTTCAATAGCCATGCATGTCATGTCTTTTATACCATTATTCAAAGATCGAAATAACCGATAATCAGTAAGTATACTATCTACCTATGTAGTGTAGGCAAAAACAATAGAAATAGCGAAACAAGGTCTGAATATTTAGTGAACTGCATTAAACTGAGTGATGGACGTAAACTGAACTTTAATTTAAAATTCATTTGCAATCCGAGTTAACGTACAGCATTATCTCTTGAAGGAGAAGGTTTTTATTCTGTAGGCCTTCTTTTCTTATACCCGCCAGCAAAGGATGGGAGTATAAATTGAAAACATCCTTATTTTTCGAAGCAAATTCTGTGAATTATTGCTTGCTACCCGAAAAAAAATAAGAGATTAGAAGATCGAATTTTCCGAACTCGATTTTATCGTGGACTGTGCTATGTTAAGCGATCAATTTTTCATTTTATTCAAAATAAAGGGGTAAAACTCCTTAATACTGACCTCATAAAAACAACTATCAATACAAATTTTCTCTTGCCTTTTCACGCTACGGTGCGATAAAACTGATCTCGTTTTGATCAAATGGACGGTGGTGGGTACTTCAGTCGAACATAATTTTTCTTTTGTTCTTAACTTGCCATCATTATGTTCCTCTATGGGGCAATGGCCTTATTCGAGACTCTGGTGAACCCAAATCATAAAAATTCCAACGATATTCACCTATATCAGGCTGACTGAAGAAGAATCCCAAAACTTCTTTTTCCCTACTCTCGCTTAGCCTCGGCAAGTTTACCAGCAACAAGTTGTCAATGCGTGGATTCAGAAAATTCCCAACTTGCTGTCTAATGACGAAAAGAAGCAATTATTTGATGATGCTCAGTGATTTATTCGACGTTCCTTATTCGTGTAGCACCGTGATGATCAGAAAGAAGTCAGGAAGGGGATGAGAAGGCTGTGCTACGCCTAAGTATTATGGCTTCACCGACTGAGTATGCCCAAAATAAACTCTACTGCACTTGAGATTTGAACCCACGGACACGAACTTGCGAACTTGTCGCGATTCTTACCTACTAGGCTTCACTGCAAGACAAATAAGACATCATTCAGAAGTTTCTTTCATTTGAGAAGATCGGTAAGTTCAATTGAACTCTGCATAAACATCGGTTCTATTCGCCCTATTTATTCCCCTCTCATTATTATCTACTTCGAAATTTGAAGGCTAAAATATTAAATAACAAATTTACAAACGCTGTCAATATGGCAACACATACATTTGCGTTTCTTGCCTCAAAAACGTTCAGCCAACTTGTTTAGGCGCTTTGACGAGTTGAAGGCAGAGGTTGTTTTAATCAGAGCACGTTGTTGCATCATAACAATTCGTTTAGTGCCTACATACACACTAGTCATTCAATCTCCACATTTCCTTAGTATGGTATCGAAAGGGACACAAATAAACCGTAATGTATGTAACTTTCCGCTGACATAGGACCTGTCCGAATGCAAACAACGTCTGATGTCTTTTTTTGTGAAAAATACACATAATCTCTAACTGTGAGTAGGTCATAAGTTGCTTGCAAGCAAAAGACCACCTATCAGAACAAATTCGTCATATTCGTCTCGCTGATCTTAATTACGCAAGACTCACGCGTTAACTTCTATTTTTTAAGCCTTCTCAACTTTTAGTTTCTGTCATTTTTCCGCTTTTGTGCTCCGATTCAATTGCCACTCGTCGTCATCATCATCATAGAATTTGAAATGACCTCAATCTATTATCTTTAGTACGTGTAAATAAATAAAAAGGTCAAGCCTTTGTTTCTTTCTATAAAAAAAAATACGCCTTTTTTTGCTGTATCTGGCACAAAAACTTTTACACAAAGAGTAACATAAACAATCACAAAGTTTTGCGTTACCTGTTGACATACCGACGATGGTGATGATGACGATGTCGGATTTTTATTTATTTACCTTTTCTTTTCTTTTTTTTCTTTTTTTTTTTCAAAAGGAATTAAGGAGCAGCACCCTTTTTGGGAGTGTATTAAAAAGCATAATCTGATTAAAAACGCATTTACCATCAGATGATGAATACGAAAAGCGTTTATGATAAGCACAAGTGCAATATAAGGGCGAAAACCTTGATGAAATAAACCTTTTTATTATACTCCGTAGGGTTTTTTGAGATTCTATCTTAATTATTAATAGGCTCTTCTGGAGAATATTCAATTTTTGTAAATTAAATCAGAGAGAGGAGGTAGTGTAAAACATCGCGAACATGCGAAGCTTATTTCTAGACGGAATTACCTAAGCGAAGGATTGCGAAATCTTGGGAGAATCAAGCCATTTTGTAGTCAATTGTACAAGCTTTTTTCCCGTTTTTGCTTTACTTATATACGATTTTATGGCAATAGTGAATAGCGAGATAACTCAATTAAGATAACTCAAAGAGAAAACCAACTCACTTCCAAACACTGGGCTATTGCTAGTGCGTACAGGTTCAGAGCGGCTAACAAGGAAATTTATGATATTTAGGGTAATTAATAATTATGTAATTATATCTAATTTTCTTTTTTTTGCACTGCATAATTGTTTCATACCTTCGCCAATTATTTGTGCCGAAATAGACCTTCAGTCTCATTGGTATGACAAACCTACTTTGCTCTTAATTATTAAGCGATTAAATAGTTTATTATTTAATGATTAATTATTGAGTCATGATCTTTATAATCAAATTTAAACTTAATCTTATCAGAGGAGTTTCAGCCCAAAGACGATTACGATCATAAAATCTTACTTGGTAAATGCGTCAAGGTTGGTCGCAAAGAAATGGAGCTCCTACGCAGAGGTAACTGCTTGTTACGGTGGATGTTATTCTGTCTGACCAAAGATAACCAGAAGATGTCAAGAATGTACTTTATTTTTATTAGCCAAGTAAAAATATGGAACTATGGCACTGGATACTAGAGCTGTAGTTAACACGCAGGGTTGGCAATAAAAATGCAAGCTTTCTATGGCACTTCTTAAGCAAGTATCAACTTTAAATGCAAAAATGTGTAACGTGCCAACGTGTATAATATCTGAATATCTTGAGCTAAAACAGATATTGTGCTCTGATTCGGTTTATCATGAAATGTAATTAAAAAATTCGTATCAACCTCTTTTCAAGCATATAGACGAAATGTGGAAGATCTGCTTTAATAATAGGTTTCCAATATACATGTACACAATACTCCGAGTTGCTAAAGAGCCTATTGTTTGCAAGTTTTTATAAAAATTATTTGCGTTACTGTGCTCCACTCGTTATGACAACCAATGTACTTCAACAGCTCCTTTGTGAATTTAACTTATCAATGCGTCTTGTCGAAGATTGATGAACACCGACACCAAGGTTGATGGAGATGATCAACAAATATAAATACATAAGTGAAAAAGTAAACAAAAAGCAATAAAAAAGACCAAGCTCAACAGACGTGCAGCCATGCATTTACTCAATTGAGGAAGGGGAGTGTTGCGTTTTTTAAAATTAAAGCCAATACGACAAGGTGGAATGCAACAAGAAAATCAACCTTTGCTTTATGTATGCAGGGTACAGAATCCAGCAATTTGATTGGAACTCTTTTGAACAAGAGCGGAGAGGCGATTAAATGCACATCAAGTATTGATGATAAACAATAAACTAACGTGAAGAGAATAAATAGGCAGAGAAACTCGTAAACGAGTATTAAAACCTGTTTAAAAACGTTGTAAAGAATTTTGTATTGAAAAAGAAAAATTCATAATGAAATGTAACAAAACAATTAGAATGAAGTTTAAGCGGATTTTAAATGCCAATTAAATATTAACTTACCAAAGAAGGGGGGAAGTAAGAGTAGATGTGAAAATCCAATCAGCACTTATATACAAAACTTGTACGCGCACGAATGTGTGTGTGTGGGTATAGCTCTGGCAAAGAGGAATTTAGCAAACGCACAATAAAGATTAATGCACGAGAATAAATTACTATTTGGATGTCAACTAAAAAGAAATGCTTATCGCATTCTTAGAAGCATGCCTGTCTTCGAAGGTAACGAAAAGCTGCTCGAACCCACGCTTAAGGACCTACATTTAATTACTCTCCCTCAATTAATTACTCTCATATAACTACGAATGGAGGCGGTTTTCAGGCCCGCTCATTTAATTACTCTCAGATGACTATGATTCGAGGTGGCTTCAGACTCGCTCATTTAAATTATTCTCATATGACTACAAACAGAGGTGGTTTTGCAGTAACAGTTAATTTCTTTTCGATTTTCCTACTTTACTTCTTGTTTATTTATTTACACATCGCCCTGTATACTGCAAGTAGCCAGTAATGCCCTCACACACAAGCATACACTTATGGAGATCCATAGATTTAAAAAAAAAAGTTGGTGCAACAATGATAACATAACACATATGAAGATACAGTATTCGTAACAAGTTGTAGTTATTACTGTTCAATTTTTTTTACTCTCTCACAATTAGTAGCATGTGAAAAAAATTGCTAATTACGACTGCGACATCTACGATGTTTTTTTGTGAGCACAAACTTTTTTCCTACTTTGTTACAATCAGCAATCACATCGACACCCAGGCAAACATAATAACCTGGACGAAACGAATTTACTTTTTTTCATGCAAACAACAACAAAATTATTAAGACTTTAATACCAACATATCAATTTCTTTTTTCCTCGATAAAAGCAATCACAAGATCAAGGATTTTTTAAATAATTGTCCATCGCTTATCGGTAAACAATAACAATGCAGTAGTTTCACTTTTTTTTAATTCTGACCATGGCATTCACAAGAACACACCTTACACACCTTTAATGAGAAAATATTTTTTAGGCCGCTTTGATTTTTACATATAAAATTAAATATTTTAAACGATTTCTTTAAATTCTTTGTTTTTTCTCGTTTTATCAATTGGATAAAAATTTCATATCTTTAACACTACCAATGGATAAAAAGCGACAAGAACCGCACAACACAACGAAAATTTAGCAACAACGAGAAGGAGATGACAATTTTCACATTTGACAACTCAACAAAAGTAAATTCAGTGTTACCAATACATTTAATTCCAATCCTATTTAGGCGATATTGCTATTCTAATTCGAAAAACTATTTTCTCACTAGAGTTCTTATATGCGCTTTAATATAAAAATTGAAGAATTATGTTTTACCTAGCTCGAACTCATTAAGCATATGAACGACAAAGAAAAAACAGTACATCTTCAAAGTTTCTGCACATTTTCGTTAGAAAATTTAAGTTAAGGTTACGAACTAGATAAATAATTGTATGCGACTAATTATTGTCGTTAAAAATAGTGTGATAATCTAGACAAAAGTAAGTTAAGGAAGCAAGAGACAAGAAGATATCAAATTCAAAAAACCAAAAAATTGTGAATGTCATCATATCATAGAATAAATTGGCATTGAATTGAGTTAATAACATTGTTGTATTCATCATAAGCATATAAGACTTTATTCTTAGTTTGTAGTGTTTCATTTCGACTGATGTCGTAATTTCAAAACATTCATTGGTCACTTTTCAGCTGATCTTTGTTTACATTTGTGCGAAATCATACTATTTAGTAAAATGCAATTGCTGAAGAAGAAGAAGAAATCATACTAGTTGAAATATTTTTGCTAATATTATGCCAAGGGCCAGCAAATATACATAAAAATATAAATATAAACTCGCGGAGTTATCGGATATATTCGTCTTATAGTTAAAGCGTGTAATCCTTTCATCCAAGCAAACGAAAGCATCTTTTTGTGCCGCAATTATTCAACACCCTGACTAAACGTTACTATCAAGAAATCTTTATTTGGTAAATATATTTTGTTCATTTTGGAGGCAAAATTACTACATTTTATTCCTTATTTCTCATTGTACACTGAATGCACTTTATCTGAAGCAAAAAATGTTTTTATAGCAAATAATTACGGTGAAGCGCAAAGAAGTTAAGAAAAGGTATATGCAGAAGGAGGTGATTTTCATAAAGCAGAGAGGGCAGAGGCGAGAGATCTAAATCTCAAATCCCACTAATCCTGCGATCGAAGAGGGGAAAAATGTGTGTATATAATGTCTGTGTACATTATATATGTTGTTGTTGTATTACAATACTGTAACATTAAAAAATATCATAAGTTTTGATATATAGTCGAAGATGCCTTTTATTAGTTTGTCAATTTTTGTCAATTATTTTCTTTAAAAATAATGCTCAAGTAAAAAGAAGAAGCCAACAGAGGCCAAAGATTTGCCGAAATTTTAGAAATTAAAAAGAAATGAAATAACGTTTTAAATAAAAGAAAATATTGCGAAGGCTACCACATATCCAGCTGTATGTTTCTTACTAATTAAATAATTTATATACAATAATCTAAAACATATATGTAGTAATTTAAAATTGGTCATTTAATATTTTTAATTTTAAAATTCAGTTGTTAATGATTTGATTGAAACTAGTGAATTATATCATCAGCAGACAAGATATTTATGGAACTTGCCAACAAGAGCAATAATTATAATAATATCACGGACCGCAGCAATAGCAAAAACAGCCACCATCTATGGTAATAGCAACACTACCAACAACACCTATGACGAAGTAAATAATTGCTAATTAAAGCTGCTGTTTTTCCCGTATATCTTTAAAGTGAAACTCCAACTCGGCTATTTTCGCCGGTTATATTCGTTGCAAATTTAATGTTTACTGGACGACAAAATAAAACCAAAATTGAAAAGGTTATGCAAAGACAACAGCAACCACGCGCTCAAGAGAAACCACTAAGACAGCGTAAACACTCCCCTCAAGATGCTCAAGCACACACACCAAAGGAACCACCAAAATATCGTTACCCTCAACCCCCAGAAAAGATAAATCCATCATTGCACAGGACATCCGATATACCAATGCCAATGCGTTATCGCACAAGTGCTCGCAAAAGCTCGTAGTATATAAGGACATTATCTTAGTAATATATAAACTGGGATTATTTGGGAAAAATGAAAATCTTATATTAATCTATTGTTAATTATTTTGAAAAATTTGATGTTAATTCTTTCCATATGTTCATACAAGTGCTTGAAATATAATATATAATCTTTTCTATATAAATGTATCAAAAATAGGCATTCATCTCCCCTTGTACGTCTCCTCAATAGTTTTATACAATTTTTATAGGCGTGGCATTCGATTTTACCCTATTTTCAAAAATAAAAAGATTACTCTTTCCATATATATATAACTTATACAAGTGTTTTGCTTGAAATATAATATATAATCTTTTTTATATAAATGTATCAAAAAAAACAATAGTTGACATAATATTTGAGGACTTTTCTACACCGCCTTTTAATAGTCCTGTAGTATCACCGGAAACTAAGTTAAGAAATACGTTGAATGGATTATACAAACGATGAAGCCGTAGCATGCACGTCCACAGTCTTTGATAAATGCTATTAATTTTTTTCGATTTATTTATTTTTACATCTTTCAATACAAATAAATAAATAAATTTTTCAAGGATAATATGCATTAAAATATAAAATTTTTATAATTAATTTAGCCAGAAAAATAAATTCTAAGACTAAAATATTAAAGAACTAACATTTAAGGCTATCGGTTTTATTGAAAACTCTTGGAACCCACGATCATTGAGTTGCTAATCGGGGGTCAGAAAATGCGTAGAGATGTTGAGACGTTCTAAAGAAGAAACTGATCTAATTTATAAAGAAGTATACTAATGATAAGAACGCGCCAATTGCTTTATGTCCACATTTTTAGAATGAGATAATCGTTGTTCCATTAAGTTTCATTCAAATATGTTTTATCTGGACAAGTTTCTGGCTGTTTGGACAAGTTTGAAAAGAGGCGCAAGTTTGAAAAGAGGCGCAAAAGACAAGAAATGACATATGTCCTTCCTTCTATTCATTGCGTATTGCTCCTTCCTTTTGATGATTCTCTGAGCGATGCGTTCATTCTCATGACAAACACTCGGAAAACAACTTCTTTTCGACTCTGAAACACGCGAAAAATAATAGCTAAAAGTGAACGTTTTTTGAATAACGCGCCTTCCACTATCTTGATCTTTTAAGCATTAATTTTACTAAAAATGGCGCCAAATAAAGTCATAAGCCTCATAATATTAATGGTACACACGATAAGATACGAGCAGTAGATGAAGCCAATCAATGGTTGTTTTATTTAACTTTACGATTTACTTCTTGTTATCTTAATATTACTCGTAATCCACTCGGTGTAAGAGCTAATGCGCATATAAACACCTGGAAGATTGGATTGGCCGCAATTAGTGCTGGGAGCAAAAGCGACAATGGCCACCAGCGTGCAGCGATTAAAACTATTGATCGATATAAAAGGACCGCCGCTATCACCTAAAAAAAATCGTTATATAACGCATAAGTCGAATGTTTGGTAAAATGTATGTTAATTTCAATAATAAAATTATTTACACAAGTTGAAAAGGTTGTCTTCCAGTAAGAAATTCTTCAATTACGTAAGCCACTAATGGCCACATATTTTTGCGATCACAATCATGATAATTTTCTTTAATATACGTATATAGTCCGCAAATTAGGAACGAAGTATTTCAGTTTAACAAGGGACTAAGAATTGATTTACCCAAGTAATTCTCTCTTTTTCTTGTTTCTCTTTGTTATACTCGACCATCTAATGCAGAAACTCTAGGAGATTAAAATAAGAGACCCTTAAAAAGCCGAAAGCAAACACTAAAAACTACATCAGGGAAAGAGAGAGAGAGAGAGAGAGAGAGAGAGAATCGATCGAATACTTTATGATATAAAAATTCTATGTAAAAGTAGTTTCTACAAACCTAGCCTTCTTCCTGATATGGCAATATCCTGAGCATTACGTTAAAAACGCGAGTGGTATGCTAAACCTGGTCAGAAGTAAAAGAAGCGAATATTGTGCCTCAAATGGCAAACAAGTGCAGGGGAAAGTAATTTATTATATCAAAAACGATAGATATTAGTCGGTGTGGTACCCGTTGAAGCTCAAAAGTGCACGGGTCTCTTTTATTTATCCGATCAATTATTTTATTTACTTGCCAGTTGTTGTCTCTAATAAGTCAACAAGTAGGAGACCAAAAATTTCTCTTAAACAATTACTATCGCGTTAACATTGGGGAATGGAAGTTGCAGAAACAAAACCATCCTAACTTTCGGTCCTTAAAAGCAAGCCAACCATCTTGTTGGAAGAAAATGCAAAACCTATAATTCTCCCTCTGCGTTCCTAACAGGTATTCAAGTGGTAATAAAATCTTGTTTTCACTTGCAGTCGTCTTTATTATTAAATAAAAAAAAAAAAAAAAGAGAGAAAAATTTACCTTCACAAACATCATTCATTGTCCGAGATTGCGAACAAAACTCGGTCGGTGTTATCACGATACTGTCCTCAAAGTTCTCACTGTATTGTGCATAACGGATAGCACATTCCGTATTATTCATAATGGATAAGCTAATGTAACGCATATTTGTTCCTGTTAAGCCACTTGCTGAAAAAACAACGCAAAATTGGAAGTCGCCTCTTGTAGACAAAAACGTGTCAATATGTCAAAAAAATAAAAAAAAAATAAATAGAAGAAAATAGGCCGAGACATCAAACTCGAAAATTTTGTTTTCAATGATCAATAATAAATTTTAATTATAAATTGAATCAATCGTGTGTGAAGATCTCACCATTTCGGTTGCTATCTCTCCAACCAACCACTAAGCCTATATTGCCCGCCAAAGATTGGATATCAGATTGCGGTAAGCAAATCTTTTTAAATGATTCTTCAAAAAAATAGACAACATTTTGAAAAAAAATTAAAAAAACGAACAACAGCAATAGGAGTTTCAATGAAAAAGTAACAAGATTGAAATATAAGAGCATAAAATTATAAGAAAAACTATTTTTATTTATCATTATATTGTAGTAAAATTTTCAAGATAGTTGAAGTTGTCACCTACGCGTTCGCGAGATAAAAAGAACAACGTCAAGAACACTAAAAGCATTTTATGTAAGAACATCAACTCAGTTAACAACAACGACACCATTTAAGTAGTTTCCACGGGAAAATGCAACGAATACTATAGAATGCTAACTCAAACTGTCCCGTCTCCATGGGGAGCAACTGAAATTTAAGGTATTAAAAGATATGCAACAGATGATTCGCAGCATCGAGCCTTTAGCTTTAAGTTTTATTAGTTCATTGGGATCTGCGCTGTATTGTAGCTGGACTCTGTATACATGGACAAATAAATAAGAATAAATTGCGACTTTCCCAAAAGGGACTGGCAGCGAGTTTGTTTCCGCGAAAGAAAGAAAATTGAATGTTCCTAATGTGCACAACAGGCTCGATTAAATTTGAAGCTTTTTTAAATTCAGTTTTTTTTTTTTTTTTTTTTTTTTGTTCGTTTAGAGATGGATTGGACCAGTTAAGTTAATGTTAGATCCATAATCCAGAAACGAAGTTGAGAGCGATTGATGAAAAAATTTAAGCATAGGTAGACTGATGTGGCAGAGTGTTTTAAGTTAATTTAATTTAATTTAATCATTTCCAATTAGCTTCGCCCAAGGTTCATTTTATGTAGAGAGCAAGCAACTGCAAGTGAAAAATTCAAGCGGTATCCATGTAGATGTCCCTTTGACGCCTTCTCCCCCATCAAGGAAACGAGTTTCTTTTAAGATACTTGCCAACATAAAGCAAGCGATTTTATTTAAAATTGTCCATAGGCGTTTTATTTTTCTTGTAATCCGTTATATTAATTTCTTGTATATGAATAATAACTACTACAGATTTCTCATTTATATATATCTCTAATATTATCTGATGATTATATCAAAACAAATTCTATTAAAATTTTGATTTTTTTTTTATAACATTTCGATTATTCTTCTAATAAATTTGCAATATTCCAACCGTTCATATTTAAAACATTTAAAAAACTAATGTCATCAATAGTTATTTTAATTTTCTATTTGTATATATAAAAAAGATTAAATTTACACTAATTAAAATTAATTATTTATCGCAATTTTTTAAAATTTAATTTCGCTAATAATCTTGGACGTTTAAGCTTATGAAACATATGCGCTATGTAGAGAAGAGAGAGCAAAGCGAGAAAAAAAACGAGATGTTAACAGAAAATATTAATAAACATAGAATTTTAATTGAAACAAATATTTTACAAAATGTTTTTTCCATCCGCTTATATCAAAAAATAAAATGAGCTTAAAAAGTTTTTCATTGTTTTTTTTTTTTATGTATACATATATATATATAGGTTCTTTCCACAGAGGCGCCTTTTCATCCTTTGCTTTTGTTACACTTTTCTCTTTTTTTTTTTTTTTTTGGAACATTGATCTGTTTCGTTTCCAATGCTTGCAAATTAATCAAATTTTGTTTTTTGCATTATTAGAATTCTCTTTCGATCAAAGCAATAGGTGCTCTAGAGCCAAATTCGAACCGGCATAAGTACTTTCGAATGATTCGATTTCGGTAAGGCACAGAAATGCGAAGGAGTGGAGAGAATATTTGCAGATGATCGTGATAAAGCGGGTGATGATGAAAATAACATCGAAGACGGCATTGGTGTCAGGAAATAGGCACCTTTGAGATCATTTTGCACTATAAAGTGACGTCGGTTAAAAAGTTTACTGCCTTAAGCCAATCATTCGCAGCGCGTCTTTAACGTTATCGGCGAGGATGGCGAGTGATTTTCACAAAAAAAGGAAAAAAAAATTCCCAGGAAAGAGGAATTTTTTTACCTCTTTAACAAGCGAAAGCTTATGTATTATGTATGGAATGAAACGTTATCCTTAAAAAATTAACTGTACAATGCATAGTTCATGGGCCATATCTAATTTTTTCGAAAAATGAGGCCAGTTCGTTGTAGTCAATGGCGACAGCCGTCTCGCATCGTTTTCTAAAACAAATTGGAAGAATTGTGAATAGTGGTTTCTTTAAATCGTCGGAAACATGTCATAAGGCCTATCAAGGAATCGAAATTCGATGAAAGGCGCCATTAGTGAAAAACTCTCTATATAGCCTAACTTTGCTTTTTACTTAGTTGTTTATTTTCCAGTACGTGCTTTATTAATATTTTGTTTTTCGGCTTCACTAAAATCTAAAATACTCTCGATGGCCTGCAGATGGCCCTGCGAGTTCTCTTTATCCGTTAGAAAGTAGTAGACGGCGCTCTTCAAAAATTGTAAAGTCACTTCGGGATCCACATGAGTGCGGTTCTTTTGCGCTTCCAGTAGGCGACGATAAATGGTCTATACATACACATACACACACATATATATATATATATAGTTTTGTTTTAAAAACATATAAGTAAAATGATTGTTTTTTTTTTTTTTTTTTTGTTAAAGACATTTTTATTTGTTTGTTTTTAAACTTAATATAAAATCAAAAAAAAACAAACGAAAATGAAATTATAAATGGAAATAAAGAAATGTTTTATATACATATGGTCATGGAACATATCGAGAGAATGTATGTATGTGCTGATGCAGCTCTTTTTGTTTTCTTTTTTTTTTTTTTCTTTTCTTTTCTTTTATATAAACATATTATGGAATCTCTACGGAGTTACGTTTTTCATGGTTATACATAAGATTAACAATGATAGACAAAAAAAAAAAAAAAATAAAAAAAAAAAAAAAAACAATGAAATGATTTTTAAAATTTATAAATGAATTATTTTTTCTCTTTTGATATTTTTTAAGGATTTTGACATGCTTTAAATATTTTGAAAATTAATGTATAATCTATGTATATATCATGGCTGAGGCCCTGCATATATTGACAATGACTGTGTAACTCGTTTAAATAGTTTTGTTATTTACATGTACATACATACCTTTGGGTGATATTTTCTTTTCTTTTTTTTTTTTCTTCAACAAAATGTACTCAACGAAAGAAAACAAACTAAAGTGTTTTTAAAAACTACTAAGTAACTTATACTCATCGGGAAGCGAAGATAGTGATGTTTATCACACTCTACCCCCGTAACTATAAAGAAAATCTTTTGTTAGCCAATTTTTTAACATAACCGATCACTTCTAGAGAATGTGTCCTATACGTGTAGCACAGTGTTGGTCAGACAAAAGTGAGAAAAACGAAAGAGATAGGGAATGGATGCCTAGACGGTGTTATGCCTTTAGCAGGCACCAAGCACTCACTTTTGCCACGACTACGTACGCTCTACTGCACTGAGATTTGAATCGCGACCCTTATCCATTTTGAATTTAATTTGAAAACGGATCCGATAAATATTTTTGGGGCAAAGTTTGTGTTGTAAAATTGTGTTGTAATATAGTAAACGTAATCTCGCGCGCATAGTAATCGCTCACATTCGCACTGACGCATGTACATCAGGTTTCATATATCTATTTCAGTTTTTGCGAAACTGACATGAACTGTCATGAACAGACATTGGATAAGTAAACATAACCTAGCTGGCTTCCGGCCTTCCATCATTAGATAATAATTGTTCGATTCAATTTTTGATCGATATATAAACGAAATAAGAACATTAAAATACATTTTAACCAAAAATCATCTGAAAACATTAGATAAATATGATCAAAACATATAGAACTACTAAAGTCTTAAGTCTAAATTGATAACGGAATTTCTCAGAAACGTTCTCGAATGACTCAAATCGCTTTTGTTAGCCACTATTTAAAAAAAAAAAAAAATATTTAAAAAAAATCTTGTAAAGGACTTAAAAGATTTAGTCAAGCGACATAATGCAAGTAAGCCCTTAGCCTTGTAGTTTTCCGATGTATAAAAAGAACAATAGTAAAAAGCGAAAATGCTATCTTCTCCGTACCGCTTGCGCACTAGAACAAAATTTTCATTAATTAAATTATGTTTGTTTTTTTTATACACATCGCCGAAAGATCAGGTCAAAACGTTTACAATGCCCGGCAGACAGCATTAGCGATCGCTTATAGCATATATATACTTGATCAGCATCAAATTATAAATCGATATAAGAATGTCCGTCTGTCAGTCTGTCTAAACTCAAGGAATCGCCTGCATATGTGGAAAAAAAAATGGAACAAACACGCTTACAATGCTTGCCCGTCGAAGATTGATTTTGAAAATAGAAAAGACTAGCCGCTCCCACTTCATACTATAAAGCATGAAAATTTTTTTGTGCTTTTTAGAATAACGGTGATGGGTATAAAAGATCCGGTCCCGACCGGATACAATTTTGTTACTTGTTTTTCAGTCTATTAATAAACGAGCGGCGCAATATTGCCTTTGCACAAAAATAATTGACTCGAAAACATAACTAGAAACGCAAACAAATTGAACTGCTGCCCGCTGTTATGAAAAAAACCTGTAGTGAACTTTAGTAAATAATTCCCCAATCAAAGAAATTGCTATTGAAATGGAATTTTATATCGAAAATGCGAACTACTTCGTCCCGTTTTTTTAGAAAGAGAATGCAAGGAGATCTGTTGGGTGTAGAATTAAAATATAACTTCATCCTTTGAAAGTAGTATCTTATCTTCAAGTAATAGGCAACACTACAAATTTGACTCTAAAATACATTTCCTCGATGCTTTGGATAGGTGTAGTCGTGTCACTTTTTAATTCGAAGGATAGTTCTGCTAAACCCTTATGAGCGTTGAACGCTGAATGTGCTACGTATCATATGCTTTCAATTATATTCTATAGAAATATTTGCATCCAAAATCGAAGAAGGGGCTGTGTGGTTTCATTTGTACTCCATTTTTAAAACATGGCGATTTTTTTTGGAATTAAGAGATAAGATAAGTATCTACCAGCAGCCAGTTATCAGCAGACATTACTCCTGGTAAACAGGGGGTTCGTTTCCTAACGTTACCCAAATGTACCATCTTTTGAACTGATAGCTTCAAGAGGCGTGCCAACGATGCACAATACCTTAACTAAGCTGTTCCTTCATTATACCCTACATTTGTTGTGGTGCAGGTAATAATTACTTGATGCGGGTGTAGGCAATACGCAACAGGAGTTGAAAGAGACCCTCCTTTTATTACACCAATCGATTCAGGACCATTTTTTCAGTCGATTTAGGCATGTCTGACCGTCTTCTGTCCGTTCCGTCCAAAGGTCGCCATTTTTGACACGTTCTGAGAAAATTTTAATGCACTGATGTATTTGGAATCTAGAACGAACGCCATTGAAAATGGTTGTCAGTTGCCACATATTGTATGATCTTGAAAAGTCGAGATATGTGTAACTGAGGGGTGGGATAGGGCATTTGACAGTTGGCCGTGTTTCACTATAATAATTTTACTTGTTTTGTTCTGAAATACATGTATTTATGACCGCAAACAGACGGACCGATCTAGTCTATATATTCGCTAGCAATATTATTCAACTTAAAGCAAACTGCAAATGTAAATCATTTTCTCGGACAAGAAAAAGCTCGTAACATAAGCCATGTCTTTGAATGATGAGGGGATACTTATTAAGATACCTACGCCTACAGCTACTTGTATACCTGTTTTCGTTAGCATATTACTTGTTTTTGTATTGATATCAAAATACATTTTATTCATCATCATTATGTAAAATGAATGCGCTTGGCAAGATGAATAAATGAAACAAATCAAAAAAGAAAACAACAAAAAAAAAAAAAAAGTACAAATCCACACCAATTGCTTTAAAATGAACAACGATTTTATGAAAGAAGACATTTTTATGAAAACTTAAAATGATATGAACTGAATTTATCCAAATGTATGAACGTAAAAAATGATTTCTATAAGAAAAGTAAGTGTACTAATAACAACCATAATAATAATAGTAATAATGAAAAAGCATAACGTAAGTCGGTTTCAGTTTACTAAACGATAGCAGAATAGAATAAAAAAAAAAAATTAAAAGAAAGACATACAAATAATAAAAAAAAAAAAATTAATTCAAAACCCATTCAAAAAAAAAAAAAAAAAAAAAAATTCTAAAACAAATCGTTTTACAAACCTTACGCGCGCCAAGTACCCATAAAGAAATTGCCTCTTTTGCAGTAAGGAGAGCATGATTACTGCCGCATTCATTTCTACATTCTGCTGCCTATAAAATATATAGTTTTGGTAGGAATTCTTTGATATATATAGATATTTTTATGAGGAATTTTTTTAATTATTTTTTTTTTAATATTTCTTTTTTTGTTTTTTTTGTTTTTGCTGATTTCAAGAAGAAATTAAATAAATAAAAATTTTGTAAATTGCAGCTTAAAAGTTTGAACTTAAAATTCGGGAAACGAACTTGAGAAAGAAACTACTATTGGATCTTGTTTTTTTTTTTTTTGTTTTTTTTTTTTTCTCAATTTTTTAATCGCCATAATATATAAAGAATATGTTCTCAAATAATATCATCAACTACTTGCAAAACACATGCAAAATGCTTTTTTTACATGTAGATATTTATATATATGTGTTTATACGTTTATATTTGAAATTGAATTAAATTTTTCTTCTTTTCTCTTCTTTTTGTAGAAGAACCATGCCCTCCTAGATAATGAGTTATTTTATAAGTTCGTACCATTTTTTACTTTCCTTCTTTTCCTAAAATAAAAGCATCTCCTAGAGCTTTCCGGGTCTTACTGTTATCGTTTTTATTCCAATATATTGATTTGCCACAGACATTCGAACATTAAACATCATAAAAACATCATTCCCGATATCTATTCTTTATCACTGTATTGCTGGAGCGGCGGAGCTCTGGACGTTGTACTAAAGAAAGTTGAGAACGAAATAAAATACTACTTGAAAACGGGGTCGGAAAGCGGAAAAAAGGCACTTTAAAGTTCGACAACGTTCCAGCCGGCCAATGTAGCGAGTTAGACAAGAGTCAAAAGTGCGAACTATGTTAGTATTACTAGCGGTAACTATTTTAAGAAAAATTTTAAAGCGTTGGGCATTTCTTGTCAATTTCAACAAATCGCAGACCTTTTTTCCGTTTTGTATACCCTAGACTATTACTTATGTTGTAACGGTATACTAAGTTTGCATGGGTTTTATCATACCTCTTATCATACTTGTATCGACTTCTGAGTCGATCAGAATCAGTCTCTGAATTCATCTTAGCTTGTCTGTCCGTCTTCCCACCTGACTGTCTTGTTTTCTTGCATTCAACCAGGGAAACCCATCTTTTATTAAACCGATCAACTCTGAATCACTTCAATTTGAGCTTATCTGTCCCGCTGTCTATCTGACGTTTGTCCATGTATTTATGTGTGCAACCTACAGACCGCGTTTTTTGAGATATTTTAATGAAATTCGGTATACCCACGTATTTTGACCTCAAGGTGAACGCTATTGAAAATGCTTCGGATCGGGCTATTTTTTCTACTACTATCCATCTAACTGGTTATGGTGAAAAATCGTAATTCTGGGGTGGTGCAGGGTATTTAAGTGAGCCTGTGGCCCAACGCAATTTTTTTTTTTTTCTTTTTCCTTATCATCGTGGCGACAAAGAATAAAAAATTGTTAAGGCAAAAAACGCTACGATCTTATAAAACAATACAATATAATTTTCTGTTTGTTTTTTTTTTTTTTTTAATTTTTTTTGAAATCATGAAAAATACAATCGTTCATTATACTTAATAGTCTCCTTCAACTCATTTGATATCAAAGTTTTTGTTAGTATAATGCCTCCAGCCGCTTCGACTGTACTTCTTCTTAATTTCATTTAATCAAAAAAAAAAAAAATTCATCTCCAATGCTACCAAAAGAATATTATAAAGAAAAAAAAAAAAAAAAAAAAAACAAAACAAAACAAAAGTATAACATACGACAAAGAACAGAGAAGAAAAATAAATGAATAAATTCCAGAAACAAACACACACACATTATATTATTATTAAACAAAACTATTATCCATCGCTTTAATTACTTGCTGTGTTAATTAGGTTATAGAAATTGAAATTTTTCTTTTTAATTAAGAAAAACGAACAATAACTGTTGCTTAACTCACTTGCATATAAGGCTGTCGCAAAATTAATAAAAAAAAATCGTGTATATAACGTAAGGTAAAAAAGGAACAATTTATATTTAATTTACGTTTAAGCAAAATGTTAAATTTCGCATTTACTTTTCAATTTTTTCCAACTTTTATTCTAAGAGATTGGGGATATTAATTTTCAAAATCTAGGACAATTAGAACGTTCACATACAAGCAAACAAGGATGACAATGTTAGTTACAGTGTAGTTGGCTGTGTGTATTTTTGGCTAAGATTTGTGTTTGTTTGGTGGGAAAACGAAACATATATAAAAAAAATAAAAATAAAAAAAAAAAAACAAAACAAAAAATGAGAGCAGAAATGAATTTGATTTTTTTCTTGACAATGATCTTCTCAATAGGCAACACAAAAGTAATGGAAGACGCAAAATAATAGTGTAAACATTACGACAAATACTTTGAAAACTCTTACACGTATGTTTTCCAATTCATCTTGTGTGGATTGCAATTGATGCAGCAACTCATTTATGGAGACTTTGTTTTGTGGTGCTCGGTGTGCCAATTCCAATACCTTCAAGTAGAAAAGAAAGATCGATGTAAAGTAAAATAATATGGGAAATCCTTGTAAATTCAGACGAACAACTTTTCTCGCTCGTCTCGCTCGTATGTACGTTGCATGCGCTATTTTAAAATTTATCATCGGTTTTGTTTTTGTTGTAATTTACTGATTTTATTTTAAGCTCTTTCCTTTCACACGGCTTGCATGATAATGTAAATTGTCCAGAGAGCTGGCTTAACCCAAGGGTCAACCAGAGATAAATTGCTACTATAAGTTTCTAGGTTTAGGTCCACACAGCTACTGTATGTTATTGTATTTAACTTTGGTCTTATTCTCTACGCGAGAGTATTCTTTTTATTATATATTTTCTGAATAGACCTAGGTTTGTTTGTCTGTCAATGATTTTTTATATTTAATCCACAGGTCGCAATTTTTGAGACATTTTGATGAAACTTGACCGGCCTGTTCTGCCCTAAGGAAATGTTTCGAATAGGGCCACTTTTTCCATGTAACTTTCATGTAACTGTTTTTTTTTTTTTTTTTTTTTGAAAAGTTATATGAATCACTGTATTAAGCAAGCTAGTGTAGAGTACTGAATGGTGGGCCGTGGTCCACAATAACATTGTTATTTGCTTCGTTTTTCTTTTTAATTTGAATCTTGGCTATGCTCTGCTTCCTCTTTCACTTTCTTTTTGCATTCTCCGCTACGAGATCAATCGTTAAATATGTTGCTCGTGAAGAACCTATAAAATGTACATATTTTGGACTTAATCAACTCGTGATCCAAAAAACAAAAATCTACGTATAAATAAAAGGAGACATATAAATATATGTTAATTGATATGATAATTATACAATTATCGACGGATGTTAAATGATGCCAAGTCACTTAAAAAAAGATTGTCTAGCCGAACATAATTTATTTCCCATTCCCCCTGGTCTGTCTTTAAAGAGTAATCTGATCAACTGATAATCTCATTTATCCGCTATCCGCTATCTACAATTGTTTTAGTGAATGTATTCGATTAAAATTATTGAACTTTGTGTACCTGATCAGCTCGAGCAATACGTTCTGCTTCTTGACCCTTCTGATACATGTGCAAATACATTTGCTTTTGTTTTTCCTCATGTTCAACGAGTTTACGTTGGAGATCCTCAAGTTGTTTCTCTAACTCGCGAATACGCTCTTTAGCATGTTCATAATCGGGTACAATGTCGGCATAACGTGTATTACATTCGGCCAACTTTTGCAACAAGGCTTCGATGCGATCGTTATTGGTACGCTTAATTTCGCTTGTGTTTGCGTCCTGATTACGTATCAAATCTTCAATACGTTGCTCGTATAAACGTATCAGTTCTTGACGTTGCAATTCATATTGTTCTAACGATATGCAATCATCAACGCCTGTCGCCTCATCGCTACCGCATGCCTGATCATGCGTATGTGGAGGCGTAAACGAAGAGTCCTTTGAATGAACCGACGACGAAGTCAAATCTTCAAAATGACCGGAATCGGCAAAGGAACTTTGCATTTCAGATGATACATGCATGACGTGATGAGAAGAACCATGTTGCAAGTGTTGTTGTTGTAAAGATGCGGCATGACGATGATGAATATGAGCATGATGGCGAGGACTTGATGATTTCTGAGCATCATCGACCATATCGACAATGGGCGAAACATCTTGCGAAGTTTTTAAATCAGCTTCGCGTACGGTAACCGCATCGCTGGAAGCCGACCGTTCATCTGGTGAACTAAGTGATGCCTTAAATAAACGTAACTCAACAACTTCACGCGTTAAACGTAAAATTTCTGTATCTCTTTGCTCTAAATCTTGACGGGTAGTGCAAAGTAACTCCTTCAACCGACGAATTTGCTGTTGAGCCCTTTGGGTTGGCGTTAAGTAATTAGAACCAACTTGGCCAGCATGACTTGAACAGTGCACAACGTATTTCATTTTACGACCGCTAAAAGTCGTGCCATTTCTAAAATATTATATACATATATATATATATATATACAGCTAAAATGATAGCGAATGCGTTCAAATTTTTGATATATACCTGGCGACGTAGGGATGCTCACAAGACATGGTAGAACGGCCCGATGTCGTTGTGGCAAATGAATACGAAGAATCTAAATCATCGTTCAAATAGGTGGTCGGCGAATCTGGCGTGACTGGTGGTGTTTTCGGTGTCAACTTAAGATTGGGCGATGATAATACGTTCACTCCCTGCTGCGAGTGACATGTAGTTGTTGTAGTTGCAGTATTATTGTTGTTATTGGGTACTTTGATTATCTTTCCGTTTCCAGTTGCTGGTAGAGTCGTTGTCGCAATTTCCTTTTCCAAAGAGAACGGTCGTATTTGGATGTCTGCTGCTGCCACTGCCACTGCTGCTGTTGATGCTGCTGCGGCAGTTATCGGAGAACCTCTTTTATTCAGAGACTGTTTTTTGGTTTTTGGATAAGAAAATTTATTATTATTAATACTTTTGCGATTCGTTTGTTAAGATCAAAGCTGAATGAATAATGGCATTTATTATTGCTACTGGCCGTTAACAATCAAAATAATGAAATGAAGCAACATTCAAGCAATGTAGTAGTGTTATATGTAATCGTTATTGTTATTGTTGCTATTGTTAAGAGTGGAATGTATGGTTCGCTGATGTTGGAGCTTAAATTTCGTATTGCTATGGTAAATACTTTTTCATAGTCATGTGGTTGCTGCGGTTGCTTCTGCTAAAGCAAATATTATTGTTTTTTGTTATTGTTGTAGTTGTTATTGTTGCTGCTGTAAACATTCGTAATTTTGTTGCGGTTAATTGTATGGTTTTTTTTAAATTTTTAAATCTTTTCTCCCATTTAAGGTTTGTTTGTTTGTTGTTGTTTTTTTTTTTTTTTTTTTTGCTGCTTTTTGATTGCAGAAAAAAAAAGCAAGTTGCTACTGCTTAACAACTATCTTTCTGTCTTTCTAGGATTGTTTGCAAAACAAAAACCTACCAATCACTTAATGGTTGAGTAGAAAATCAAATTTACATTCATTCGCATGTTAACACAACAAGCCAATTCTATTTTGATTTTCTTTTTCTTTTCGGATTTGTTTGCTCTTTTACAGCAAAGCACTCAAGCGTGCATAGCACCGTAGCAAACTGTAGACGAATAATCTAAACATAATCATACATACTAATGAAGGCATTTGCAAAAACAAAAAAAAAAAAGCAACATATTTAATATAAGTATCTTTCAACAAATAAATGGTTTATCAGTCATTAAGTGAAAGAAAAATTTTTCTAATTAACTTTCTTTTTAATGATTATTCTCTTTCTGCATTCGTTAAAGACTTAAGTATAATATGAAAAGGCAAAATTTTCATTATCACTTCTTTTTGCTTTTTGTTTTTCTTTTCTTTTTTTTTTTTTTGTTTTTATCCAACCGCATAATTCGTTATCAATTTTCTTCATTTCTAATTATGGGAACTGGTTGTCATAGCAAAATTCAATTTCAATTTGCTCACGATCACCTAACCATAAATATTTGTACTTTTTTTTTTGCTTTGCAAGGCAATGCTGTTACATTTATTTTGTGCCATGTTGCTTTTCGTGTTTGGAAATTTTTCACAGTGAAATTGTATTCCGGGTTTTTCATCATTTTTACACATTTCTATTTAAAACCGCAATTTTAAAGTTTCGAAAGAATAAAAATTCCTTTGCTCAACCAATGAAATTAAAAGTACTTTCGCTCACTTTCTCTCCTCTAGGAAGCTATTAAGAAGTCACAAGGTCAACCTTAAGAATTTCTTTCAAGCGTCACTTTTAAATACTTTTTAATACAATTCCGGTGACGGTGATGGTCAGGTAGTGTTATGACTCGTGGTTCCCTTCAAACATGCAAACACTTGCTAAACATATAGTGCATAATACAAGTGAAGTTTGTTTAGATTTAAAACTATCTCTGTCGTGGTCATTCTGAAAGCAAGACCAATCGTTAGGTATCCTACACCGCTTTGATTAATGCAATTTGTCACCAGTTCTCGTTATAAAATATCACAAATTACGACTTCTTGCCATGTAGAAGCTTTACAATCCGCCTTTGGGCAGTGAAAAATGAGGAAAACGGATGTTGCCCTTATTTAACACTGGTCACTGTGCGCACTGAGTCTTTACGAGCCACTTGGGCCTCGATTTTTTGGGTTTTTTCTTTTTCATATGCACCTTCCATTGGAGTGGGGGGATCTATCTATTTTTAATAGGGTTTGTCCGCGAACCAGGGCCAGTGTGTGTCGAGCAAAAAGCACATGGACGTACGTCTGACGGACGGGCAGACACGCAGGTTTAGCTCGATTTAGAAACTTATTTTTATAAAAGGTGGAAGGAAAAGTCCTTCATGGTGTTGCATACACCCGCGTTACTCTTATCACAAGTAATATAAGTTATGATAGGCGTTTATGCTTTAGCTAGATTATAAAAGTGGTCATAATACTCTTGATATTTTATGACACGAAGAATTTATAAATGGTATTAGGCGATACAGTGCAAAGTATTTGATAAGCGGCCATGCCTGCCTTTAACGTTTTATCTTGTTTTTTTACATTAACAACTCTTATGCCCACTACGGAAGTAAGAGGTATACCTTCAGCACTTTTAACACTTTTTGCTAATAAACTGAAATAGATATCAAAAATCGAAAAGCAAAGCGATTTAGTTGCAGATATCCATCAGTTTGTTGTTGGAAGTCGCAAAAAATATAATTAAAAACCTGATATTTGGTAACAATATTCATTAGATCAAGTTTAAAAATTGACGCAATTTTCCCATAAATTTAAAACAACCTCGAAATGACTGCAAAATATTATAACATATATAACACATATAAATAAAATATTATACAGTTATCGACGCGAAGTTCGACACATATTTCTTAGTTGCAATTTTCCATTACTAGAGTTTGAAAAATGGAACATTGCAAACCTAAACAGGGAGACAAGAAGCGAAAACGCTGTAGTGAGACAAGGTTCGCTCTTAAATACTCTACACCACTCTACAGTTATTCGAAGGAATCGCTTTTCAAAATTAAGTGTTATATGAGAAGTGGTTGAAAAAGCGGTCCGATCCGAACCATTTTCAGCGTCTGTCGTTGGCCTAAGGCATGTCGGTGGAGTGAATTTTATCAAATATGTGAATGCAGGAAAACAAGACGGACAGACGGACAGACATGTTTAGATCGATTCAGAAAATGATCCTCAATCGATCGGTATACATCGTGCAGCAAACATCCGCAGAAACGTTATATGCCCTCACATCATAAATGGTGTAGAATATAAAAAGAGGACATGGCCAGGTAGACTTTCTTACACGTATTCTTTACTCTTTTTCTAATATTCAGCTACAAAACTCGTATAATCAGCTGATTTACAATTACCTAGGACTACGGCACGCATATGATTGTTAATATGCAACAGCAAGTGGATAATTCACGACGCGTGTAAATATTTTACAAAGTATCAGAAGTTGTGACGAATCATTTTATATGAAACATGTCGGCTTCGCCTTAATTGAGACTAGCACACTTAATATAATTGACGGTTGAAGAGGAATCATCAGCGAATGAATTAATGTATTCGTTAAAGCTTGAAGAGTGAAACATTTTTAAATTGACTCAACAATGCGACAAAACGCAAAATATGAGAATCCACTTCACCTTACAACAGTTTTGTCACTCAGTGAGTCTTTTGAAAAGAGATGCGATATAAACTTGCCTGCTGTAAGCTTGCGCCCAAGACTCAATGATCGGTAAATGCTCCTTATACGTGTAGCAAGATGATGGTCAAAAAGAAGTCAGGAAAGCGTCGGAGTTAGAGAGTGATAGCATATTAATGGATGCATGCTAAGTGCCCACTGAGAGCCTACTCACTATAGCTACGACTAAGGCATCCTTCTAAGATTTGAACCCGCGATTTTTCCAATTCGGCTACTTTTGTAGATACGTGGATACTCTTGCGGATATTATAGTTTAAGGCACAAACAAACTCTGTGTACTCGAGAAGAGCTCTTATTAATCTATCATAAAGCTTCTTAGTAACGTATGAGTCAAGAAATTCCTTGGAAAATAAGTAAACTTATTTGCCGTAGAAAAAAACAGCAAATGAAAGATTAACTTTGGACCCAGCAGAAGTCCCACATTATTGAAGAACGAAGTATTATCAAACCTAGCGAAGATGCCTGTGTTTCCTATGGACTCGTGAAACTTATTTTTAAATGTAAGAAATAAAATGATAAAATTAATCTCTTAAGGGACGATTGCAAAAATTTGATTCAGATCCATTAGATATGACAAAAAGATTGTAAAGCTAGCACTTGCTTATCAGTTACATAGAATCAAGTTTTAAACTCAGAAAAGTACTAAAAGACTCAACTAGTGTCACGATTTCTTACTAACTAATGATAATGACAAGCTCATCAAGCGTCATTGTCGATAATGCCTAAGTTCATATATCCAAAAAGTCAATCATTCACTTTTTTCTTGCATCAAGTTTCATAACGAGCTCGGCGGCATTAGCTGTGATTAATATTGCAAATTAAACTTATTGTTTTACCTGCTAAAAGTTTTGCATATTATTTTTTTTGCGCGAAAGATAATTTTTCCTCAAATTAGATGTTGATAAGCAAAAAGTGTTTGCCTTCGTTACATGTGCATTTTTATTTTAGATTTTTTCCATTTGACTTCAGAAATTAAACTGTTGACAAGTCCCTAAAGCATTTTGTTTCTCTTCTGTCCCAAATTTCTAAAGAGAATACACATTTTCCTTTTGCATATGGCATTAGCAACATTAACAACAACAATTTATTTATTGTTTGTTGTAATTTAAAAAAACAAAAAAAGAATATGAAAAAAAGCTTCTTTCATCAAATGAAAAACTGCTGCTGCTGTTCATTCATTTGTGGTTGTTTTGCCTGTTCATAGGTAAAGGCGTACGTTTTTCTTTTAAAGGTCATATTAATATATGCACGTACCTTGTCACTGTTAATAACACTTGCATGCTACGTACGTAGCGTTTGTAATCTGAATGAATGGTGCAATGTATTCATTTATCTTACGCGCTAAATATACTTTCGCTTATAATAAGTGATAGAGCTGAAGATGAGTGTAGGCTTTGAAATGTTATCAATAAATTTCCCTGAATGGATTCTTTTTCTTTCTGAGTAAATTAAAACAATAGACTTTACAATTATTTATCATTTAACTATATTTTTTAATATCTTAAGCTGCTCTAGATTGGCAAGGTTATAATCTACGTATCCAACATAATAAATAGTAAGAGTATTTGTTGGTTTGTTGGATTTGTAAAAACTAACGGGAAATATACCAACAAAATCCGTGCTATTTGGCCTATCGCCAACAAAAAAGAAAAAAAAAAAAAACAGCAAGAACACTAAAAGCACCATAGCG